TTCCCAATAAACTTGACGACGACGAATTAAAGGCACTAGTGGAAGCAAACATGCGAACAACTGTTCGAGAGCTTGCAGAACAGCTTGGCGTAAGCACAAGGACAATTCGCACTCACCTGGATCGCATGAGAAAGACAAAAAACTCGACAAGTGGGTACCGTAAGAATTAAACGATAATAAGAAAAAATCCTAAACTATCGTTTGTTCTTATTCTGCACAACAAAAACGACCGTTTTCTTGACGAATCGTGACGTGTGTCGAGAAATGGATTCTCTAAGACATCCGGCAACGTTCAGCTCAATGGTTGGATTGCGATCAGGCTCTACAGCACTTCTCAAAGCCGAAACTGCACCAAAAAAGGATTATGGTGATTGTTTGGTGGTCTGCAGCCGGACTGATTCACCATAGCTTTTTGAATCCGGGCGAAACAATTCGGCAGAGAAGTATTACCAACAAATCGACGAAATGCACCGTAAACTCCAACAACAACGACCGCGTCAACAGAAAAGCACCAATCCTTCTCCACGACAACGCCCAGCCTCACGTCGCGGAAACAACGCTGCAAAAGTTAAACGAGTTGGGCCATGAAACTTTGCCTCATCCGCCATATTCATCAGACCTCTCGCCTGCCGACTAGCACTTCTTCAAGCACCCTGATTACTTCCTCCGCGAGAAATGCTTCGCCAACCGGATGACGCAAAAATGTCTTCAACGGATCCACCGCCTCCAGAATTTTAGGCAACTGGAATCAATAAACTTGTTTCTCGTTAACAAAAGTGTGTAGATTCAAATGGTTTTTATATTGATTGGTAAAGATTTGTTTGAAACAAGTTATGACACCTTAAATAATATAGTTAAAAACCCTCACTTATTTTTGAACGGCCTAATATGTGCAGCATGGAGATTCATCCCCAGCAGTGTCCCCCAAGCTGAGAAGGAGTTCGGAGTTTCCGTCTTTCAGTCAGGAAACCCAGCTAAGAGTAAACCAATACTACTACCAGGATACATCACGATCCTAATATCGAACTAGTTGCATGGTCGCAAATCTCCCTCTGATCCACAAGGTCGGAGACCACAAATGGTGGTGACCACCTGGGACACATTTTGGTTTGGCTGACCTCGGGACTCCAAGGAACCACAATAGCTAAACCAGCAAATCTCCGGAGAATGGGAATTTGCTAATGCCCGCACAACCAGTGAAGATAGGCCATCCAAATATCCAAGTAAGTAAAACTACATGGTATGAGAGGACTTATGCTGAAGTTATGTGTGGGATTTGTGCAAAATCGTAGGAAGAAAATCCCGTGAAAACAACAGAAATGTAACTTCGCTTGACAAAGTGTTACAAACACTGCAAATGTTTTATTCGTTCAAGTCAATGGTATTGGTCAACCAAAGCTCTTCGTTTACGTCTTTCTGTGCGGGAGACTTTTGTTGCCACTATGCAGGCCGATCTAATCCTCGTATATCAAATTTTGTTCGGTCGAGTTTTATTAAATTGACGACAGAACGATTAATGCTAATCACCTCCACCATATTCGATCACCTGTCGTGGGAACGTCCACAAAACGTCGGGAGTAATGACAAGACCACAAAACATCAAACTGTTCAGTATCATGGTAAGGATGGGCTCCTCTAAAATAAACTAGTAGTAATGTTGGAAAAAATGCAATCGACTGGAATGATTTCTGTTAGCTTCCCACTCAAGGCTACAAAATTCCAGTTGCTCTCTCACCGACGAAGTTATCCCGCTGAGTTTGTTGTTCTTCACAATCGCACCACTCGACTTTTTGTGTACCCTAAAGAATTCTTGTGATAGATCCCCTTCATAATGTACTGTTTTAAAATCACGGTATGTCAGAGATTAAGGCATATAGCACAGTGTCCAGATGCAAAAGCTGTCATTTTAATCTAAGTATTTAAGTGTTTTTCGTGTTTTAAGAAACACGTTCGGAATTGATTACTACTATACCTACCTCGGATGCTTTCGAATTTGGCGACGTTGATGAAGACGCGTTGCTTTTGGATGCGCTTCGATGAACCCCAGGTGAAGGAGAACCTAGCAGAGGTTGGTGCTCAATGCTTGGTGTGTCCGCATAATAGCTTTTCTGAATTTTATAGCAGTGAACGACTGAGTGACTGTTACCCGTCCAAAATCAACTTCTATAGTAAACCACCAACTGTATCGCTCGGAAGGAACATTTCTGTAGCGCTAGTAAAGCATGACGGCAATAGTGCATAGATTTTGTTTCGTTGAAAACTTACCTTATAAAGAAAATGAACTTGCCTTACCGTTTTCGTATGCACATAAAAATACTTTCAGAAGTCAAGAACATAATTTCGTTGACTTGTAGATGCTTTTGATTTGGTACCTCTCATAAATTCTATCATTTAAACCACCCACTAACGAATTAGTGTACTTGCTTAGTTAATTATTGATCCAGCAATAGACACTTAAAATGAGGACGCTCGTATCAGAACAACGATAGAGTACGATATGATAACGATAATTACAGATATAGAAGGCTATCTATACGATTTGGATAAAAGCGTTCGGTGTTGATCAATTCCTAAACAGATGCGGTAGACATTATTGAACATCACAAACGTGATTGAATGAATACTTGTTCTGCACATTGATTCGCATAAACCTACCGATGTATGAAGTCAGAATTTTTATCCTCCCAGAGAAACGTGGCACGTATTTGCCTAGAACGCAGGTTTGATGGGATTCGTTAGCCCGGGTCGCGGGATTGAACCGACAAGTTTGTGTGTGTTGCGGAGCACCTCTAACAACTACATTGTACGGGACAAATTATAAGTGAATTTAGTGTTGTGAGAGAGAATTGTTAGCTAAAACAATACTGCGTTATTAAAGGCCCTGATTCAAAGGTGAACATCATACTGTGTGAAAAGGTAGTCTTTTCGAGTAACGAAACCTTTCTTTTAATGGTACCTTAAAGCAAAATGAATTTGAAAGTTGCAAAAGCAATTTCAAACCTTTTTCTGTTCCGCTCTTTTTACTTTGCTAATGTGCAAACTTGCCGTTGGCGCTGCATCAGTAGTTTTTGGTAGATTTGGATCCTCCGGCGACATCTTGGAGTGACAATTGAAGCTGTTCATTTGTATCGTTCAAGCCAAATTTGTTAACCTACCTTTCATCAAACAGCAATTATGAAATGATGCTTCCACTGCTCTCCAGTTATGTTTAGTGGTCATATCTTGAAAGATACCGTAGCAAATTTACATCTGGCACAACAAAAGCATTCCGATACGACTCTCAACGGAATAGGTATGGTATCAAATAAGAGTCGTATTAACTGTCAATACCACATAGAAAATCGTACTTCCACACTAGAGCGGTTGGTTTCACTCCACTCAGTACGGCATGCGTACGGTTCATTCCCTTGTGAACATCGTTCATCGTGGTAGTTAGTTTCTTGTATGCACGACATCCGAGAATTGACAGCGTTGTAAAGATAACTGAGTGGTATGAGTTACGAACACGTCTGCACCTTACTGAGCTCTAGAAAACACTTGAACACACCTAGATTCCACTCCATCGTTCTTCGCATCCATCTCTCATCGACCACACCTTATTACAAATTCAGCTAATCTCTGTTCTGTTTCAAATGTATAATTAGGCTGAATGTGAAGAGAGCATATTAATCGGAGGTCTTGGACCGCATTATATGCGGTTTTATGGTAGCTGTTAGAACGCACAAGATATTTTTCAAACCCATCGTTATTTAACCTCGGGGTTAACGATGTCCTCTTGAATTATTAAGCTAATGCAGGGTTGATAAGAAGGATCAGTGGACATCTAAACGTTCACCTCCTTGTGAAAATAACTGAGTTGTGGTGCAAAAGAGAGCGCTCGAATCAGTACTTCCAGAGGAGTGACTCAATGTTGTAATATCAATGAAAACAAACAGTCTCCATTATTTTCTACAAAGATACTGTTTTCATCTGCTATCAATGACGTCGCAACATTCACTGTGTTCTTTTGATGGTTACACGCCTTCACATGAGAGTGGTGCTCAGTGCGCGGTATATTAATTCCGTTTTTCTTCCTAACTGAGCGTAACTTTTAGCGTTAGCGTCCTAGTGAGGTTTCTTCATCAAAGCCTTGATCCCGCGATGTAACGACTCCAGTCATCATCGGCTGTTGTGAGTCGAAACAAGTTTGCTGCCCTATACATAGGCATATACTATGCAAGTGGTGATTCTTGACACAGCGCTACCTTTATATTCGTACACTTCATTGTCGGAAGAGAATGTGGAATTCTCTTTGTTTAAAGGATCTAGTTAAGGAGTACAGCGTGTAGCACAGTGATCGGCAGCGCCCTGCAACACACTTGGGATCGATCCCCGTACCCATGGCCCACCAAGCCTTCCATTCCTCCGGGGTCGGCAGGTACCAGACTTGTCTGGAAGTATGGCAGCACTGGCTCGATACATCGGTAGGCCACTGCGAGTCATTGTAAAGCCCAGGTATGCATTCAATCGCCCCTAACCGATGATTAATGAAGTCGGATGCATGGCGCATCCCTCAGGGATTGATCAACGCCGAGAGCTTTATCCTTTACCCTTAGTTAAGAAGTATGACTCCTTGTTTTATACTGCATTTGGGCATTTAAAAGACAATACTTCCCTACAGTTGAACCGTAAAGTGACGGTATGCACTGGTTTCAATACACTGTCCACCTATTCATTTTACCGCAAAGAGTTTATTTCTTATAACATCTGTTTTCAATCAACAGCTTGTCCAACGACCAACCGACACTGGTAGTTGAAGTCATGTACGTGTCACTAATTACTCAAAATAACCAAATAATAACAAAAAGTAGTAACAACCAAAAACAAGCCACAATTGTTTCCAACTAGTTCTCTAAGAAGCGTCGAGTACGGTGCAAGTACGTAATTGCAATCATCACATTCATTTCTCCGCGAGGAGATACGATAGTGATCGCATTTGCTGTCTTACGTCAGTCTCCAGAATGCTTTCCAGCCTGTCAGAATCAGCTGTTATCTTCTGGTTGTGTTGGTTGATGATAGTAGCTGGAGCTGCTAGTGCGATACTGCTGTTGCTGGGCACTAGAGCCATGTATGGACGATACAGTGTCCAATCCGCTGTGAGTGTACTGGTTTTCTTCATAGAATCACATTACCACTGTTACATACTTCTTTGATGATTCAGCAGCAAGATGTTGTTTTAGAAAACTAAAACATTTAGAGGAGAAAGTTAATCAGAAATGCGTTAATTTTGACTCCAACACTATTATTCTGTATTCCCTTTGCTGACACCTCATATTCTATTTCTTTGGGCTTGATATGGCCTTAATAAGTCCATTATGAGCTCAAAAATCTTAGCTGGAACAGTATTGCCTAATCAGTTCTTAGTCATAGATTCGTCCATTAGTGCCCAAAGTTGTCAAACATCACTGCCAAGCGAAATATCTTAAATAAGTAAATATCGTTTATGTATCAAAAGTGTTAGTAATGTCCTTCATATAGTTTCAGTTGATGATCCCACCGAAGTTAGCATGGTTCATACAAGAGCTTCCTTCGTTCGCTATACCTCTTTGTTATATCATTGGATGCAGGAGTCTTCCAGGCATTGTGGTGTTAGTCGCATTTCTGATCCACTATTTTAACAGGTATAGTTTTTGAAGAATCCTTTTTATGAAAATAAATATGATAGCGAGGTCAGCGAGATCGCATGTGCAGAATAGGGTTTATTTTGCACATAAAAAGACTACAGTTTTTCTTTCTATAATGTGCAGCGCAGTGGTCGGGTAGGTTCCCTGCAGAACACATAGAATCGATATAGGATCGATCTCGCGCCCATGGCTAACCAAGCCTTCCATTCCTCCGGGGTCAACAAATTAGTAACGGACTTGTCTGGGACGATAACAGCACTGGCTGGATACATCGTAGGCCACCGCGAGTCATTGTAAAGGCCAGATATGCATTCAACTCCAACAATGCTGAATGGAGTCGAATGCACAGCGCATACCTCAGGGATTGACCTCCAAACCGTTTACCGTCCCATCGTGGCTGAGAGGTGTTTCTGGGTGTCGGGCTGCAATGTACATCGGAAGATCCATCCCCCATTATGGCCTGCCAAGATGTGGAGTCCGACATTTCCATAATCCCAGCGAAGAGTAAACCACAAAACACGACTAGGGACCACCACCGTCCTAGTATCAAACTAGTCGCATGGTGTCAAATCTCCCTCTGATCCACAAGTTCGGCGACTGTCTGTGGTGATGACCACCTGAGACAGGCTTTGGCTAGGCTGACCTCTCGGGGCTTCATTGAACCACAGTGGCTAAACCGGTAAAACTCCGAAAAAGTGGAAATTGTGCTCGGCCCCACACAACTGGTAATGACAGGCCGTCCAGGTTTACTATTCTACTCTGTTTTTTCAATGAGCAAACACTAGGTTGGTATTATAGCACTTATTAGCACACAATAGCTCACGTCCCGGTGGTTTAGCCTTCTTCAAAGCATGGGAAGGTCAAATTGGCATGCAATCTACTCAGCCAAACACTTTCATAACCCTTGCAGATAAGACTGAAATTTTCTGCTTAAGGCAACTTTAGCATTTGATCTAATGGAATTGCAAACCAAAATTGATCCACCTAGTATTCTTCAAAGGGACCTTTCCATACTCTGACGAAGGGAACGTCAGCTATTATGTGATAATAAATGCTATATTACCAATCTTAAGTTTGCTCAGTGAAGGAAAACAGTGAACTGTTGATCAATGCCGAGGTTAATAGAATGCCGGTCTTGAGATTTACTATTTTAGTTAACGTCTGTTCACTTCACCGACTACTTTATGGGTTTCACGAAAAGGTGATCATCAATGTGTAATTGGTACGGATTCTAGCCATTTACCAACCTCAATAGTTAATCCACGGCTGCTGCTCGTCAATGCTTGCCAACTAAATCTCGGTCGTTTGTAGTGCACATATAATTGACCACTTTTTGTTTCATTGCTTCAATACGCTTATTACCGTCAATACTCCTGTGAACCAGTACGGTCTAAAAAACCTCCCCAAAGCTTTATATCATCTCTGGGACCCAAATGCATTGTCCAAAGCTCACCGAAATCACCTGAGATTGTTTTACTAGAAATTGAGCTGTTCTCGTCTTCTAACAAGTTTCATTTCCAGAACATTCGTCTATCCATTCCAGTTAAAATCTGGGAGTGGAACACCATGGTACATCTGTCTTCTGGGTGTTTTATTTTGTGTATGGAATGGTTATATACAGGTTTGTGCACTAGTTCGTCCTCACTACCATGAACTTAAGTTCGAGTATCACTTTACTGCTTTTTCTATGTTAACTTTCATTTTGATTTTACAGGTGTACACTTTGAGCAGTTCGAAAACTAATGTTAGTTAAGAAATTTCTATCCTAGGGAAGCTATCATGGTCAATATTATTGGCCACCAGACTTCTTCTCACGTGTCTCCACTTACATTGGTGAGCTACAAATGTTTGACGTTATTCTCAGTTTGTACCTACTTGGGTACTTGGATGGCCGGATTCATGTTTATGCGGGCCCCAGCATGATTTCGTTTGTTCGGAGTTTTGCTGGTCTAGCCATTGTGATTCCCTGGTGTCCCGAGGTCAGCTTGGCCAAGGTCTGCCCCAGGTCGTCACCACCACAGGCAGTCGCCGCCTTTGTGGATCAGAGAGAAATTTGCCACCATGCGGCTAGTTTGATACCAGAACGCCGGTGGATCCTGGTACTGGCTTGCTTTTAGCTTATCTTCCTGATAGAAACGCCTGACTCCTCAGCCTAGGAAACCTGCTGGAGATTGAAACCCCCGCTGTACTTCGCAACGCGACACTCAGGGACACCTCTCAGCCAAGATGAGGCAGTAAACCGTTGAGAAAATTCTTAGTATATTCGAGTTATCATTTAAATGAAATATGTTTAGAGGCTGAAGTCGAAATCACCATCTTAACCTTTTTATTTACTGCCTACTACAATTTTTAACGGCAGAGTATCATGTGAAGTACAACTAAGGTAATGCTGAGATATTGGCAAAAGTCCGGACCGCAGTCGTTAAAAATTGTGGTAAGCGGTAGATAAAAAGGTTAAGATTGTGTTATACCTCTTTGTTTTCTGCCTACTATAATTTCGCGGCAGGGTACTAATCGAAATACAACCACAACGTTGCTGAGATATTTGCAAAACTCTGGGCCGCAGGTGTCTATGGTGGGGAACGAACGCGCTATTATCCTTTCCGGGGAGTAGCGCGTTCACCACCACACCATGATGGTCCTTTGTTTCGCACGTCTCTCAGGTATCTATCAGCAAAGATCGATAGAAATAGCTGAGAGACAGGCGAAGCAAAGGACCCGCATGGTGTGGTGGTGAACGCACCAGTCCCCGGAAAGGACTATAGCGCGTTCGTTCCCCACCTTAGACACCTGCGGTTCAGAGTTTTGCAAATATTTCAGCAACGTTGTGGTTGTATGTTTAGAGGGTTGAGAATGTAAGGTGTTTATCTCATATAAAGCTCTTTGCATGAAGAATTAAATTCAGGAATCCTAATTTTCGCCAGTGGAATGTTCATAAATATAACATCGGACGGAATACTTCGGAGTCTTCGACGACCCGGTGAAACAGGTTACAGGATACCACGAGGTACTAACATGCTGCAAATTCTTTGTAGTTTCTTCTAGTCCAGTAACCGCGTTTTACCTTGAAGAAGAGGATAGTTATTACTGTGTTTAAATTATTGAGTTTACACAAGGTTGTTGTATAACATTTATTCGATAAACGTTTCGAGGTCTTCGTGTCTTCATCAGGGTCGATGATCTGAGTCGATGGTCCACAATTGTTCGACATCTCACTGTGACGTCTTTGTTTTCACTCCGAGTCGAACCTCCAGTAGAGCATCTCTCGAATTAGGTATACTCACCCGGCGATGCTCTTTTATGCAGGACGGTTGCTATGGATAGCGGTGGTTGTTCGGTGAGAACCACTTGTTTTTCCTGAACGATCCATCCTGCAGAAATAAACATCATTACCAACTGGCATAGAGCACAATAATAATTTTTCAAAAACCGACTTGTCTTTAACCTTGGTATGACTAGTCATCGTATGTTTAGATTGTTGGGCTTACATAAGGCTGATAAACAATATTCGGCTAACGTTTCGATGTCTTTGTCTTCATCAGAGCCGGTGATTCGCGTGGATGGTCCACAATTATTCGTCTTCTCGATATCTACGAGTTATTACTGTGTGGCAAACAAAGAGCCTTCTTTCATTGTGTCATCACTGTATTCGCCTCCTGGTTTCATTGTAGCGATTCCCTCAGATGCCGTTGTTTTGTTACTTTATTGCTTTCATTTGGTTGTTCTGCGCCAACTATAGGTGGATTCCTACGACCGGCCTTCTATTAACCTTGTCATTGATCAAATAGTTTTTGATATCCTTGTTGAGCAAACACGAGCTGTTACTTTCATAGGTGGATTGTTTGAATACGTCTCGGGAGCGAACTTTTTCGGTGAAATTGTTGAATGGACTGGATTCGCCATAATGTCACAATCACTACCAGCGTTTGCTTTCGTGTTTTTCACCGCTTGTAATGTTGGTCCACGAGCAATCCATCATCATCAGTAAGTTCTGTTTAATTTACACAGATGAATAATACGATGGAATACGTCATTATTATTTCATTATTTCAGATGGTACCTTAACAGATTTCCCAACTATCCAAAAGATCGCAAAGCTCTTATTCCTTTTATGTTGTAAAAGATATCTTATTTGCAGTTTGCATGTTTGCCTGATAACATTGTAAGTACGCTTGTTGATCATTTCCATTGTGTTTCCTTCTTCTGATTCAGCTACTAGAAAATATCTCATGAAATTTTGCAGTTTTACTCAGTGCATTTTCATTCATGCTTAGCGTGAAAATATATCTCATGTGCACCATTACTTCTCTGTTTTTACGCCCATCACTGAATTTTACTTGTTATTTTAGTGCTTCCTTTTCAATTTTGCATTCATTTTGACAAAGTTGATTACTTTTTTGAGTATTCGTCAGGAGAGCGTAGCATTAAGTAGCAGGTTATCCTGTATAGCAGTTTCCGGCAATGAATACGATGTTGTAAGATTGTAAGCATCATTTTTTTTCCTTCTAGAAAGATTCTTCATGATGAACTATTTGATGGATTATTCTGCTTTTGTGCGTTATCCAAAGTTCTTTTCTAAGCATATCTAAAGTTACTTTACTTTTTGTCATAATCTTGTCGTTTTTCTTCATACTTTGCTTGCCTATCTGCCATTAGATCTCTGTGGTCGGGACCGTACTTGGTGTATGCACGAAACAGAGTTAGGGTTTCAATTTTCTAATTTCTAGATGGTTTTTTTTAATCATGAAACGTAGTGGTTTATTAATATCAGATCACATATATAGACTATAGACTTTGTTGGTTTTTCGAGAGTATCGACCAAAGTCTATGAGACGTTGATTGAAGACGTGAGTTGTGTAAGAACTAGCAAACGTACATATTGCGGGACAAATGAGGGCCAATGTAGCAGGTGGGAATATCAAACTGTTAATGTTAATTTTGTTTCAGGTTCACTTTGAGGTTATTGTCTATTGAAATCTATTCGAATGTGGAGCATTCGTATGATTTCTTCCCTATTTTTTCTTATCAGCTCTATCACAAATATAAGCTGGAGTGTTTTATGGCAATGTGTATAGTGCCATGTGATAAGTTTGATTATGATGACCAAAAAGCTCAAAATGATCGCTATTGAGAAACCAGTTGTATGTGGGACACTGCGAAGTACGTTTGTATTCATTCTCGTCTTCATACGATTTTTTGTCGTTCAGCTTTCTTAAGCACGAAATCCAGCAGAGATCGTCCCAAGAACAGGACATTGCTTCGGTTTTAAGAACAACATTTCGCTTTAGTGTTTTAAATTCCGGCTTCTGTATCTTTAATGAGACCGTACAATGTTCTCGATTGGACAGTAAGTTCTACTTTTTGTAAACATTCATCTTCATAGTTGTTTTTCATCACGAATGAGTTTCTACACTAGTTAAACTCAGTGGTAAAAGTTGAATACTCAGGACTTCCACGCAGTATGCAGTGGTATCTAATCTTCTCCCATCAGGCATGGCCCACATCGAGACCTCCAATTTTCATCAGCATGTGCGGCCATATTTTGGATGGAGACCCATTCTAGACAAGCTGTATATTTTAGCATTTCGTCTACGAATTGTTCAACAACTCCAACGATGGAGTTTCTTACTCACGGTACAGATTGGTTGCTTTGTTCTGAAATTGGTAGGTCCAGGAATTTTTTCGGTAGCTCCACAATAGTGGGTTCTTTGTGCTAAAAGTGCTGGGATATTGGTTAGTTCGAAATCTGTTCCTTATTCCATTCGATACTGGATTTGTGCGATTTCTGTTTTGCAGAAGAGAACGAACTGCCCATTATTTTGTCAACACTACTTATCACATCAAGTTGATATTTAGCTGAGAACAAATTTTAACATAGTATTGTTTCGTTTTAAATTGCCTTGCAAATTCTTTGGAGTCACGAGCTTCTATCTTTGCCACTGTGAGGAATAATTTATGTCAGGAAGAGCTGAAAAAGCTTATTGTGAAGGTGCATATGGAAAATTGAGGCTTTGTAGTATTTCAAGTATATTTTTAATTCGCTTGAACTCTTTAATTTAGAAAGCAGGAAGTGATATGTTAGTTTCCTTAGCGACGTTGATGTTCCGGTGGATAAGAGGAATCGCCGTTCATGGCCGGGAAGCGATGAGCTCGTCCAAATCGCATTCATCTGTTTGGTTGTGACAAATTCACCCCTCGTCGCCGTCGCACTTTTAGGTTTAACCCGTTCTTGAGGTGAAATCACAATAATGTTGATATGAAATATGGTATGAAGAAGGTGTCGAATTTGTGATTGTCTCATTGTTAATTGATTTCTCTCGAAATGCTCATATTTATGTTCTTCATTTCACTTCTAATTTGAGACGATCTTCTTCACCGTTATCGGTTTTAACCAGGGTTTCATTAAAATCTGCGGTTTAGCACTAGGGCGGTGAAAACTATGAGCTGGTGCTGTGGTGCTAACCGCTAACCAATTTCGGAAATCGTTTGCAAGTGTGTTTATCAGTAAGACGAAATAAGAGTACTTGACATCGCAAATAACCACAGGTAGCACAAGGAAGCCTTAATATATGATACCTCCACATAAAAAGATGGTGATTTTTCATAGCAGTTGTATCATTTACAAAAATACGCCAGAATGTCGGAGTTTCTCGCTTCGTTCATTAGGCAAACATTTCATGTGAAGTTAATTTCAATTGTTTCTTTTAAAAACTACTGGGGTTCGTCTCTTTTCTCTTTCTTGAAGTTCCGTAGTTGTCCTGATATAGTTTGAAGACGGGATATCTAAGCGCAGGGTGAGTGTTTTGTTGCGTTTACGTTGTTCAATAGTTAGTAATCCTTTGTCTCAAGGCGCATATGGCGTCATATAACCTTCTTATGCCATTGTTCTTTCTTCTATATGTACTTTTGTTTATGTAATAATGTACATAAACGGAAATTGATCTCGCCTAACAATTTAGTACTTTGTGATGTCCGCTACCCATTCATGGAAGATTGTTATCGTTTTCGCCCTGAGGCATTGGTTTTTTGTTTAGGGGTAGAGGTTATGGGATTTTAATGTAGCATTTTTGAAATCTCGCACTCAACGTTCATTGTCTTCTTCATAGCGAGATGTCAACAGTCATTTCCCGCCTATCAGTTCTTTATCGTTTGCTAAGAGATTTTTAATGATTTGCTTAACTTCCTTTTCTTAACAAGTGATTGCCGATGTTTAGTTACCGCACAATTTTTGTAGCGATTTCTTAAACACCATCGAGTTCATCGTATTCTTGGTTTTGTTGATGCTATTCAACATCGACATTCGCGAATATTGACGATTCCTCTTGACTATTGCCAGTTATTATAGCGACATTCTTTAGATGGATATCATTTCACATCCTCCGCAGTCACCGAAGAAACATGAAGAAAACGTGAGTTTCATTTCATTCACGAAATTAATCCTCTTTGATTCCTATATTTTGTTTTTTGAATGAAAATATTGTTTAATATTTCTGCGTCGAACTTCTTCTAAGTACTTGAAAATATAATAATATGGTACTTGCTTGGTATAAGAAAGTAAAACATCTTGTATTTTCAGCATACGCATAACTATATGAGCGCATAAGTATAAATATGTTTATCCTCCTCGATTTAGACAGTAGGCTGGTGAAAAATTGCGCGAGATGACAGTACTACACTACATTTACTCTGGATCTAAAGATTTCACGTTATCTGCCATAATTGGTAAATTTAACGTTGCGAGAATCTTGCTGAATACGAAGGAAATCCAAAAACGAGGCTTATTCTGTGTAGGAAATAATTCAGCCTCCATTCGAGGACTTTGACGAGTTTTCAGAATTGTTAGAATGTTTCTATCTAGTTCATGAGGATAGGAACTGCATCGACGTCTGTTGAATCTGACATTGAAAATCTGTTTCTGATCTCACTTCGTGAGCGCACTTACCGAACTCGAGAGGGATCACCATGACAACTATCACACCACGTGCCTTCACACAATTGTCTTCTCAACGTCGAATTCTTGATGTTATCTCATTATGCAGCACTATAAATCTGTTATTTGGGCAGAAGCCGTTTGCCAAATTTATAAATTTAGGACTTTTACAACATTTATCCCAAGTGTGCTCGATAAGTGACGTCGCATCCTTTTAAACCTGAAAAATCTTATCAAATTAGTTCTCTTAGTGTCTGCATTCGATCCTGAGGTGCTATGAGGTTCTTCGACTACAGGATAACATGTCGTACGAGTGTTGAACGTTTGGAATGAGCGCATCTATATTCGTACAGCAAGAATAGCGACATTGGTTGAAAAAGAACTCCGATTTTTACGTGGTCTAGTTCGTTATGTTGCGTTGCACAGGGAGATTCCCATCACTGTGCTGAAATTATAAGTCGCCATGAGTGGTAATGGTTTTTCTGCTAAACTCAGACGACATCTCATCTGTCACGTACCTATTATTTCTAGCCTGGATCATCATGTCCTCAGTGGAGGATGTCTATGGAACATTTTTTACATTGTAAATACGCATCGTTACCATAGTCCTGTCGGAGTTAGACAATGATTATGACTTGGTGGCATTTTCCTACTTGTCCTGGTCCTGCCCAACGCTGCAGTTTCGAGAGAGGTTGGCATGGAAATAGGTCCTTTCCTTTAAACATTTTTGGTCGTTAATGCACATAGACACTTTACCAAACTTTATTAAAATACACGTAAAGCTTATCTATTGGAAATGATTTCAAACCAACTTCCCATGCGCTACCTAGCCACTTAATTCCTTCTGTATCTCTAAACTTGCGATAATGTTAGTAGTCATGATTTCTGTTACGGCGATTGCGCTTACAGTGGAAGACTATATTTTGTTCCATGAGTACATAAGTTTTTATAAGCTTGTAACTGTAAGTTTCTGTACAACTACCGTTATGCCATATTATCTGCCACTACCTAAGTATGCGTTATAGTCGAGAAAAGTAGGGGGAGAACAACCAAGTGACGTTTCGTCCTTTAGGAACAATACTAATGACATTGAAATTTTCGTGAATTACATCGACATAATTATTTTCTTCTCGTCCCGACGCAAAATGGTAAGTACTACGTTCATTTTCTCACTAATTGGAATGTAAGAT